CGTCGGCCGGGCCCGCAGTCCGGAGTAGCCAGTTCTGCCGTCCTGGGGCGCGGGGAGTTTTTTGGACAGTGGGGTAAACTGAGGCCCGATAGGGGCGCTGGGCACTGCCCGGAGTCCGGCGCGCACGGATTGAGGCGACCTGATTCCGCCGCATCCTGGCCCGCGCGGCGAGGGTGGTCTCTGGGCTCGAGTCCCTGACCTCTGGCCCTGGGGGCCGTGCACCGGCAAAGCAGGATTCAGCCTCTTTCCAGCCGGCCCTGAGACCACTTTTGCGACTGGCCCCTGGCGGTGCCTGGTGGCTTGAGGCCATGGAGCTTTACTGGGGTCACTGACCATTGGGTCAACCTTTCCCAGCTCTGGGGGCAGTGGTTCTGAACCAGTGCCAGGGCCTTCCCTGCCCCATATCCTGGGCTTCTGCAGGGGGCACTGGGGTCCGGTGTGGGCTGAGTGGTCTGGAGGCGACGGGGCACTGACACCACAGGACTTGAGAATTGAATGAGGCAGAGAAAGGTGTAGCTCTCCTAAAGAGGACGGAGGAGGCCCCACACGGGACTAGCACAGGACCCGCAAGAATCTCCCCCAGGAGAGTCCTGTCCTGTCCTGTCCGTCTGTCTGTCTGTCTTTCTTTCTCTTTTTCTTTCTTCTTTCTTTTTCTTTCTTTCTTTCCTTCCTTCGTTCTCTTCCTTCTCTTCCTTCCCTTCCCTCTCTTCCTTCCTTTTCTCCTTCCTTCCTTTTTCCTTCCCTCCCTTCTCTTCCCTCCCTCCCTTCTTCTTTCCTTCCCTCCCTCCCTCCCTTCCTTCTTCTTTCCTTCCTTCCTTCTCTTCTGTTCCCTCCCTCCCTTCCTCCCTTCCTTCCTTCTCTTGCTTTCCTTCCCTTCCTCCCTTCCTGCCTTTTCTCCTTCCTTCCTTCCCTTCCTTCTCTTCCCTCCCTCCCTTCCTTTCTTCTTCCTCCCTTCCTTCCCTCCCTTCCTTCCCTCCCTTCCCTTTCTCCTTCCTCTCTCTCTTTCTTTCTTTCTTTTTTTTTTTGAGAGGGAGTCTTGCTCTGTCGCCCAGGCTGGAGTGCAATGGCCGGATCTCAGCTCACTGCAAGCTCCGCCTCCCAGGTTCACGCCATTCTCCTGCCTCAGCCTCCCGAGTAGTTGGGACTACAGGCGCCCGCCACCGCGCCCGGCTAGTTTTTTGTATTTTTTAGTAGAGACGGGGTTTCACCGTGTTAGCCAGGATGGTCTCGATCTCCTGACCTCGTGATCCGCCCGTCTCGGCCTCCCAAAGTGCTGGGATTACAGGCTTGAGCCACCGCGCCCGGCCTCTTCCTCTCTCTCTTTCTTTCTTTCTCTTCTCCCCTCCCCTCTCTCCCCCTCCCCTCCGTTCCCCTCTTCTCCTTTCTCTCCTTTCTTCTCCTTTCTTTTTTTCTTCTTGAGATAGGGTCTTGCTCTGTCATTCAGGCTGGAATGCAGTGGTGTGATCTTGGCACACTGCAGCCTCTACCACCTGGGCTCAAGCAGTCCTCCCACCTCAGCCTCCCAAGTAGCTGGGACTACAGGTGTGTGCCACCTCACCTGGCTAAGTTTTAAAGTATTCATAGAGACGAGGTCTTTCTCTATCGACCAGTCTGGTCTTGAACTCCTGGGCTCAAGCCGTCTTCCTGCCTCAGCCTCCCACAGTGTGGGCATTACAGGTGTGACCCACCGCCTCTGGCTAGGAGGGCCTTTTTTTTTTTTTTTAGAGTCTCGCTCTGTCGCCCAGGCTGGAGTGCAGTGGTGTGATCTCGGCTCACTGCAAGCTCCGCCTCCCGGGTTCACGCCATTCTCCTGCCTCAGCCTCCCGAGTAGCTCGGACTACAGGCGCCCACCTCTACGCCTGACTAATTTTTTTTGTATTTTTAGTAGAGACGGGGTTTCACCGTGTTAGCCAGGATGGTCTCGATCTCCTGACCTCATGATCTGCCCTCCTCGGCCTCCCAAAGTGCTGGGATTACAGGTGTGAGCCACCGCGCCCGGCCTTAGGAGGGCCATTCTTACCTGTTCACAGCACCCATCTCCCAGGGAAGGCCTCAGACCTCAGGAGGGAAGAGTCAGGGAGACTCTGGGTTTTCATCTTGTGCCCACAGAGCAGTTTTTTTTTTTTTTGAGATGGAGTCTGGCTCTGTCACCCAGGCTGGAGTGCAGTGGATTCATCTCCACTCCCTCCCAGGTTCAAGCAATTCTCCTGCCTCAGCCTCCCGAGTAGCTGGGATTACAGGCACGTGCCACCATGCCCAGCTGATTTTTTGTATTTTTAGTAGCGATGGGGTTTCACCAACCTGGCCAGGCTGATCTCGAACTCCTGACCTCATGATCCACCCACCTCGGCCTCCCAAAGTGCTGGGATTACAGGTGTGCGTCACCACACCCAGCCAGCATTTTTTTTAAAACCATGTGCACATACTATTTTTACAATTAAAACAGACTTTTAAAGGTTTCGTAAGGCCCCTTTTTGCATACTACAAACATTCTGGACTCCTTAAAATTGATGTGGGCTGGAAGTTGCTGGTCAGGAAATGGAGCTACCAGGTGTGCCTCCTTCACTGGGGCCCTTCCGGCCCAGTGGGCCCCTTTCCCTGTCCCCTGTGGGGCAAGCTCAGAGGCACTGCTGGGGGGGTTGGGCAATGAGATTTTTGTCTTTCTTCAAAGGGGCCTGGGATCTGCTTCACTCAAGGCTGGCACAGAGCACTCACAGCAAGATTGCCTCTTGCGGAAGAGGCAGTCAGTCCATCCTTCCCTCGGGAATCTGAGCCAGAGAGAGGCCAGTGCACACTTGCCTGTGTGACCCGAGGAGGAAGGGGAGGGCATTCCCTGCAAGGCTAGCATCATGTTCTTCCCTTGTTGACCTTTCCCACCCTGGGGACAGGACCAGCAGGATTTCCTGAGGGGTCAGTGTGTGTCCCCTTAGGTGCATCCAAGGCCGTCAGCTTTCCCTGTGTAAGTCTGGGTGTCCATACATGCGACCTGTTTGGACATTGCCGTGTCAGGATATGACAGTGTCCTGTGCTAGGTGAGGGCAATGCCTGACTGTATTTTAGCATCTGGGTGATTAGACATCAGGGTGCCTGGGGACAATGTGTCTGGATTTCAGCATCCATGTGTCCAGGCTGTGGCATGTCTCAGTGTCAGGGTGCTGGTGAGGGACGGCTATTTTCTGTGAGCATCAACATGCCAGGGTGTTGTGTAATACACTGCGTTTGTGTGCGCCGGGGATGTGCTGTGTCCCATGTGTTTCTACGTGTTAGGAGGTCATTGTGTGTCTGCATGCTAGTATTTGTGTATTTGTGTAATGACATCTTTGTATGGGGGCATGCTGTTATATACCTTTGTGTCTGTGTGTCTGGCCAACTCCATGCACGTGTTTGTGTTTGTTGGTGTTTGCTGGTGTCAGTGTCATTGCATCTCTGTGTATGAGTGTCTGTGTGTGGTGGCCTCTGAGTTTTCTTTTTTTTTTTTTTTTTTTTGAGACAGAGTCTCGCTCTGTCGCCCAGGCTGGAGTGCAGTGGCATGATATCGGCTCACTGCAAGCTCCGCCTCCCAAGTTCACGCCATTCTCCTGCCTCAGCCTCCTGAGTAGCTGGGACTACAGGCGCCCGCCACCTCGCCCGGCTAATTTTTTGTATTTTTAGTAGAGACAGGGTTTCACCCTGTTAGCCAGGATGGTCTCGATCTCCTGACCTCGTGATCCGCCTGCCTTGGCCTCCCAAAGTGCTGGGATTACAGGCGTGAGCCACCGCGCCCGGCCAACCTCTGAGTTCTTATGTGTCTGATTGCTGTGTGTGTGTGTGTGTGTCAGGGTGTGTGCTGTGATCTGTGTGTGTTTGAGACAGGGTCTTGCTCTGTTGCCCAGGCTGGAGTACAGTTGTGTGGTCAGAGCTCATTGTGCCTTGAACTCCTGGACTCAAGGAATCCTCCTGCCTCAGCCTACCAAGTAGCTGGGACTACAGGTGTGCGCCACCTCGCCTGGCTAGTTTCCAAAGTTTTTGTAGAGATGGGGTCTTGCTATGCTGCACAGGCTGGTCTTGAACTCCGGGCCTCCAGCGACACCCCTGCCTTGGTCTCCCACAGTGCTGGGATTGCAGGCATGGGCCACCGCGCCCGGCCAGATGTTCGTGTGTTATCCCTGAACGTGGGAATGGAATCTTATTGGGAAAGGGTATTTGCAGATGTGATTAAAGATCTTGCGATGAGGAGATTATCCTGTATTACCCAGGTGGCCCTAAGTCCAAGCATCCTTATAAGAGGGAGACAGAGGTAGATTTTTTTTTTTTTTTTTTTTTTTTTGAGACGGAGTCTCGCTCTGTCGCCCAGGCTGGAGTGCAGTGGCGCGATCTCGGCTCACTGCAAGCTCCGCCTCCCGGGTTCACGCCATTCTCCTGCCTCAGCCTCCGAGTAGCTGGGACTACAGGCGCCCGCCACCACGCCCGGCTAGTTTTTTGTATTTTTAGTAGAGACGGGGTTTCACCGTGGTCTCGATCTCCTGACCTTGTGATCGGCCCGCCTCGGCCTCCCAAAGTGCTGGGATTACAGGCGTGAGCCACCGCGCCCGGCAGAGGTAGATTTGAGAGACAGAAGAGGAGGTGATCTGATTACAGAGGTGGGGACGGGTAATGCCCATGAGCCCGAGTTCTCCCGGCAGCTACTGGAAGCTGGAGAGGCGAGGAGTCTCCCCAGGAGGCCCCGGGAGAGCTGGATTTTGGACTGCGGCCTCCAGAACTGTGAGAGAATGAGTGTCTGCTGTTCTCAGCACCCCTCGGTGGTCCTCTGTCATGGCAGCCGCAGGACCCTCACGCGCTGTCTGGGCTGTCCCTTCCAGCGTGCCGGGCGTCGTGTCCAGCGCTGGGGGCCGCGCGCGGGTGTGGCTTGAGCCCTGTTTCCAGCCTCTGCGCTGCGGTTGCCCGGACGCCTCTCCGGGGCGCGACGCCACTGCCCCCTCGTGGCCGCGGCTGCCCGGACGCCCTCTCGCAGACGCAGCATGGCCAGCACTTGGGAACCAGCTTTATTTCTGATTATTATTATTATTTTTTTGTCAGAGTATAAAAAAGTGAGCACAAAACAAGGAAGACGAGACAGGCGTGCGTGAGCCAGGGCAAGACAGAGGAGGAGGGAGGGGAGCAGAGGCGGACGGGCATCCCGGGTGAGGGCTGATGGTGGGAGGCAGGCAGAATACTTGGGCAGCCACACAGGGGCAGGGATGAGGGTCTCCCCTTGTTGGGGGCTTACGGGAGGGGAGCGGCCAGGCCAGTTGTCCAAATTCTACCTGGGACCCGCAGTGACCAGCCTTGAGTCTGGAGGCTCAAAGCACACAGAGGGGACTGGGGGCTCAGCCTCATCTGTCCCTGAGATTTTCAGAAGCCCCGAGGGGATCGGGAGAGGGCAGAGGCACAAGAGGGCGGGGCTGGCCAGGGCTGCCCTCACTGTCCTTCCGCCAGGCAGCACCAGCCCTGAACCACCCAGAGAGGGGTTGCTCGGGTCTCTGGGCGGGTGTAGGGGAAGCGGCCCTGGGGAGGCCTCTCCCCTGAATCCTCACAGGCCTTCTTGGGAAAGCGGCAATGGGAAAGCCCACGCACAAGGCCCTTGTTCTTGAGGGCGGGAGTGGGGACCACCGTAAAAGCAAGATTTTCCCAAAGATAGGGCAGGGAGCACTGCTGAGCCTGGGCCCTGGGCACAGAGCCACCTGGACAGTGCTGAGGTCCTTGTTGTGCCACATTTTGTCTCTGGTGCTTGGTCAATCTGGGCCTTTCTCAGCTTTCTTCTCATGAATAGAGGGGGTGTGGTGAGGATGTATAAATAATGATGAAAGTGTCTGACATGGTGCCGCTGGGCAGGTGCTGATGGCCACTGCTCTAGATGATGGGTGGGCCTGCTGGGCTCCGGCAGGGGCATGGGCACAAGCCACAGGGAGCCAAGGCAACTTATGGCACCTGTGTGGGCCAACCTGGAGGTGCTGGGGAACTGCCTAGAACTGGGCTGGGTGGGTGGACAGACAGATGACTCAGCAGGCGATGGGGGACGGACATCACGTGGAGAGGGGAATGTAAATAAACAGACTCCCTGGGAGTCTGGGGGGACATCCAAACCGGCTCTGGCTCCAGGCAGCTGCCCCACATGCTGCCAGCAGCACTAGGGGAGGGCTTGGGCTCAGGTCCCAGGAGGTGGGGCCACACTCAAGCAGCCCCTACCCACCCAGCCCCAGGGCATGACCTGGAATGTCCAACCAGAGGCGCCGGGAGTGGTGATCCTGGTCCTGTCTGTCCGTTGGGCCAGCCTGACCGCCCCGGCATCCTGCAGGGTCCAAGAGGGGCTGCGGGGCCAGTTCTGCCTCCTCCCTAGCCGTGGACTCCCGTCACAGTGCTGGGGTCTGGGTTCAAGCCTCAGCAGCAGCTAGGACATTTTCCCAAAGGAAGCTGTGGGGTGGAAGAGGGTGAGGATGGGGGGGGGTCTTTGGCATCATCTGCATTAGGGCCCTTATTGGGGCTCACAGCCACCCCCCTGAGGTCATCCCACCCCACACTCAGAGGGGCTTCTCCATCAGCCCCCAGGCCTCTCTGGCACCTCACACTGACCTTGGCTGAGCAGCTGCAGGCTCCGCCCCTCCTCACGCACCTGCAGGCGGAGCACCTGCTGCAGCACCTCCTGCCTCTGGGCCTCCTGGGCCAGCCCCATCCGCTGCAGCTTCTCCGCATTCAGCCGCAGCAGTGCCCGGCCTGGGGAGAGGGAAGAGGGGCTGAGCTGAGGCCAACAGAGGCATCAAGAGCCAAGGCAAGGCTGGTGCCGTGGCTCACGCCTGTAATCCCAGCACTTTGGGAGGCTGAGGAGGGCAGATCACTTGAGGTCAGGAGTTCAAGACCAGCCTGGACAACATGGTGAAACCCCGTTTCTACTAAAAATATAAAAATTAGCTGGGCTTGGTGGTGTGCGCCTGTAGTCCCAGCTACTCAGGAGGCTGAGGCAGGAGGATCACTTGAACCTGGGAGGCAGAGGTTGCAGTCAGCCGAGATTGTGCCATTGCACTTCAGCCTGGACAACAGAGCGAGACTCCTTCTCAGAAACAAACAACAAACTGAGTGAAGGCACAGGCAGGGACTGAAAGAGAAAGAGGGAGGAGAGAGAGAGGAAGCAGGGTACAACGAGACTCAGAGGGAGAAAGAGAATCAGTGAAACAGATAAACTTAGAGGGAGAGAGGCAGAGGGAAAAGATGAAGAGCAAAAGGCAGGGACGGAAGAGAAAAGCCAGATGAAGATAGCACGGAGAGATGGGAAGAGACACAGAAAGAAAGGCGAAGAGATAAAAAAGACAGATTCTGCAGAGATGAAGACCAGAGGGAAGGTGGATTCACAGAAGAAACTAGACAGACGAAAACAATAGCAAGAGAAAGGCAGGCTGAGTGTGGGGAGGAGATGCTCTGAGGCAGGTAGCCCCACCCCCACAGCACCCTCAGCCCCACTGTACCGGTGATGGCATGCTGGGAGAAGGCCTCCACGTAGACGAGGTAGTTGTGGGGACAGTGCTTCTTGAGCCACTTGCAGACATCCTGCTGACTCCACAGGACCACGGGCCGGGTCAGGCCGCCCAGCGAGGGGCTTGTGTGGTACATGCCATAGTGATCAGAGTACAGCCGGCCCTGCAGGGGAGGGGCGTGGCAGCCAAAATGAGAGTGGTGGAGAGGGAGGGCAGGGATGGAGGTGGGTGGAGGGGGTGGGTACCTGGGGGGTCTCTGTGCCGGGCTGCTGCAGGAGCTTGATTGGCCTGCTGCTGGCCGCCCTCTGGCTGCGGGAGTCATGCCATGTGAGACTGGTGCCAGGTGTCCCAGGCAAGTGGCAGGGGATGCTCTCAGCTGACACCGTGTGCTCCAGGAGGGTCTGGCAGAAGCTGAAGTGGGCAGTGGCTGTGTGTGTGGGTGCCTGGTCAGGGCAGTCAAGGGCAGAACCAGAGGCTTCCTCTACTTGAGAGCTAGCTCCCTGCCCCATCTCCTCTACACTAGCGTGGGAAATCACTTCGCCAGTGAGGGGTTCCCAGGCCTCCAAAGGCAGAAGGAAGTGTGCAGGACCCGTTTTGAGGACCTCACCCAGCACGAAAAGAGAAGAACTGGGAACGCCTTTCCTCTTGCAAGTCTACAGCCCTCACTCTGGGGAGCAGAATGGATTCTGCTTAGATCAGAGGATGTGCCCACAAGGGAAGGGACCTCAGATATGGCAGGAGGAGCTGTCCTGGGACAGCCCTGACCTCACCCTTGCCTTGGGCTGGCCCACAAGCCTTGCACACACCACACCAGACCAGGAAGTGCACACACAGCCTGCTGTGAGGAAAGGCAGGTCCCGAGTCTGGGGAGGTCGTCTGTGCTGGGGAAACCGGGCTGAGGATGCTGCTTGCCCGTCGCCATTGAAGAAACCCAGTTCACACAGCCCTATCTGGCGTTGGGGCCCGACTTACTGGTTATGACTCATTGACAGCCTGAACTCTGGGCCAACCCACAAGCAGGCCTCACTCCGCAAACACGCGCTGGGCTCTCCAGCCGTGCTGCCTCCCACAGGGCCTGCAGGCCCGGGAAAACACCGGCCGTATGAATGGTGGGTACCCACTGGATATGGGCAGGTCAGCACAGGTATGTGGGGTGCAGCCATTGCTTGGGGACCCACGGTGATGCTCTGTGCTCCCTCTTCCTGCAGTAACTGCATTAAAGCATCTCATCTGAGCTTTATCATCATCTCTGCTGACCTGAGTCTCGGGAGGCAGGTGTCTTGATCCACGTCTGTTACACAGGGGCACCCCACGTTCATTGTGAATGAATGAATGAATGAAGGCTCTGTATGGTGTCTGCAAGTGAACAGAGCCTGTGGGGAGACAGAAGGCCTGCCCCTGTCTTTACAGCACCCAGGACTTCAGCAGGGCAGGTGAGGTTCCCATGCTAGGGCCCTCACCCCATCCACCCTAGAGTGACAGACCCTCCCGGCTCCAGACTCAGCCACCCACTCCACACCCAGGGCAGGGGTTGGGGATGTGTCTAGGAGGTCTGATTATTGGGGGAAAACCACATCCTACTCCCCGGTCCTCCCACCCCTGTAAGACTTAAGAGACTTAACACCTTCCTCCCCCATTCTTGCAACTTTCAGGAACAGGACCCCTGGTGACTCCAGATTTGAGGTCTAGGGTCAGCAGAGGGTGTGGTCAGTGGGCCACCGCCCCGAGGTAGCCCCTACTGCTGTGGGAAAAGATTTATTCTAAGGCTGCGCCTTCCAGCGGACAGGCACCGTGGTCTCCGGGCTTTGCAGGGCCTGCAGCGGTGGGGCTGGTGCAGAAGCGCGCGGCAGCCGGGGGAACCCGTCGGACTCCTCCGCTCACACTGCACCTGCCCAGGCCAAGCAGGCTCCGCCCATTTCCTGCCCGCACTCCCGGAGGGAGTTCCGTCCTTCCCGCGGTCTGTTGGTCCGGTCCCTCCCGCCTCAACGTCAGGATTCCAGAAGGAAATGGGGCGGGGGCACCGAGGCGGGATGTGACCTCGGCCCCCTCTCGGCCCCACTGCAAAGGCTGCGGAGGGTTTTCTCCGCGCGCAGGAAAAGGTGACCCGAGCGTAGTGCCAACCTGAACACAGGCGCCCCGGCTTGTCACCCCCTCACCCCAAGCCAAGGGCGCCCTGACCCCCAAGGCCTGAGGCTGGCTGCCCCCGAAAGCAGGACAAAGGCCACGGAACCCCGTTAAGCCGAGACATCCGCCGAATACCCCCAGCCGCCGCCGCCGCCGCTCGACACCCGCCGGGTCCCGCCCCCCCACCGTGCCTCTGGGTCCCTGAGACCCCCGCCCGCGAAATCCCCGCGCCCGGGTCCAGCCCCGCTCACCGTCCACATCCCGGCGCTCCCCGAAGCCCGCGCGCACGGCCCCGGCGCGGCCACGCGGGGGGCTCAGCTTGGACCTCAGCTCGGTGAACATGGGGCCCGCGGGTGCCAGGCCCGCGCACACGCCCCTCGCCGAGTGCAGGGCGGCCGGTGTGGCCGGCGGGGAACGCGCGCCGCCGCCCCGCCCCGCCCCAGCCGGCCCCGCGCCCGAGCCGGTCCCCGCGGCCCGCGAGTGTGCGCGGCGAGGCACCTGCCGCCGAGCCCTGTGTGCCGGGCGCGCTCCGGGAGCTCCGAGGTGTGTCGGCGGCGCGCGGGCCTGCGTGCGCCAAGGCTGTCCGCCAGGGCGAGGGGCGTCCGTGCGCCCCTGGGCACGACTCCGCGGAGAAGAGTCCCCGTGCACCTGCCGGGGGTCCTCTGAGGTCGGGCCCCTCTGTGCGTGGGGGTGGGCTGAGGAGCATCTTACGGGGGCCTTCTACCCACCGGAGCCAGGACAAGGGGCAGATCAACCCCTCCCACACACTTCCCTGGTCTCCTACCTCTTTACTCTCTCTCAAATGGGCACCCGCTTCCCCGGAGAAACCAGCTTGACTCTTGCTTACCGCCCACCCCACTGTGAACATCAGGGTGGTTCTCCCTTCCCCCTGCAGCCCCAGAACCTGGCTCAGTGCCCGGGGGAGAGGGGGCGGTACAGTGCTCTGTAACTGAAAGGGGCTTGCCTGGAGATGGGGCAGAGAGGAACTCCAAGGAGGTTGTAACAGGCCGGAGCGGTGTGTTTGCTCCAGGACTCCAGTGAGAAGTGCTGGGATGGGGCTGGGCTGGGGAACTGTGGTTGCCTGGTGCAGTGGCAGGCCAGGCTTGCAACCAGCTATTCGGCTTGCTCTGCCCAGGAGCCTGGGTGCTCTCCCTGGGTGTATGTAGGGGCTCTGGAAGATGTCTTACAGCAGAAGGAGCAGAGATGCACACAGACATGTAGAAATGCATGCACAGAGTACAGTCATGCACGTGCACCCAGAACACGAGCACACGTGACCTCGGTGTGCACACACCCCACTAATCACACACACTAATCATACACCACTAATCACACACACTAATCACACACACTAATCATACACTGCTAATCATACACACTAATCATACACACTAATCACACACACTAATCACACACACTAATCATACACCACTAATCACACACACTAATCACACACCACTAATCACACACACTAATCATACACACTAATCACACACACTAATCGCACACACTAATCATACACACACTAATCGCACACACTAGTCACACACACTAATCACACACACTAATCATACACACACTAATCACACACCCCACTAATCACACACACTAATCATACACCACTAATCGCACACATAGAATTCACTCACATGCTTGACAGCCGTGTTCATGTGCTGACGTGTTCCCTACAGGTCAACTACGGTTGTTTATTTCAATTAGCTCTCCAGGAGCTGAGGATGTGGCTCTCACCAGAATGTCCAAGGCATGTTGGTGGGCGTGGGTGGGGTCTCTAGTCCCACTGGAGGGACAGATGCATGAATGGAGGTTCAAGAATATGAGTGCTAGGCCAGGCGCGGTGGCTCAGGCCTGTAATCCCAGCACTTTGGGAGGTCGAGGCAGGCGGATCACGAGGTCAGGAGATCGAGACCATCCTGTGAATGGTGAAACCCCGTCTCTACTAAAAACACAAAAAATTACCCGGGTGTGGTGACGGGCGCCTGTAGTCCCAGCTACTCCGGAGGCTGAGGCTGGAGAATGGCGTGAACCCGGGAGGCGGAGCTTGCAGTGAGCCGAGATTGCGCCACTGCACTCCAGCCTGGGCAACAGAGCGAGACACCGTCTCAACAACAACAACAACAACAACAAAAAAGAATATGAGTGCTGAAAGCTTAGGGCAGCAGTGTGCGCCCAGGACGCACACGGACAGGTGTGCCCATAACCAGTACGCACAAGCTCTGCACAACTGGACAGGGTACAGCTCTGCTTGGAAGTGATCAGGGCCCACCCGGGGCGAGGGCGGGCAGCTGGGCTGGTTCAGAGGGAGGGGACCACGGGTCCTATTGGCACAGACAGGTCTCCTCGGGAATGCATGAGAGCACTCGGGAAGGAGCGATGCCTCAGGCTATTTTTGGCCCCCCGGGGCCTGTTAGGGTCCCAGTGCAGGCTCGGCCTGGCTCTCCCCGCCTCGCCACGAGGAGGCGCTCCCGCGCACGCGCCTGCCACGTCCCCTCCCCTTAGCCGCGGCCGGAAGTCGTCGAACCGGCAAGTCGGGGCTTCCGCCCGGGGAGTAAAAAAAGTGGGCGGGGCGTGTGCGGACTGAGGGCTCTGCTTCCGGGGCGCGGGTGACGCGACGTTCGCGACACTTTCCTGCGGAGCGCCTCGGACGTCGAAGCCTGGAGTCTCTGCTGCTTCCGCTCTTCCGCTGCCTCATTCCGTTGCTTCCTAGCCTTGGTCGTCGCCGCCGCCATGAACAAGAAGAAGAAGCCGTTCCTGGGGATGCCCGCTCCGCTCGGCTACGTGCCGGGGCTGGGCCGGGGGTGAGGCCTGGAGCGGCGCGCCAGGGGCGGGGACCCGGCTAGCGGAGCGCAGTGCGCGTGTTTGGGGGCGGGGGTCTGTGGCCGCGCTGTCTAAAAGACGCTTGGTGGATCGGCTTAATCCCTGCAGGAAGCAACGGGCTTTGGGGTCAGGACATAAGTGTGTGCACCCTGCCTGCCGCCTAGATGGGACATGTTGGCTCTCAGCCCAGTGTTTTGGTCTGTAAGATGGGGAATGATGTATGCAGTCTGCAGTGAGGTGTAGAGGAATCTGATGTGTAGTGGAAACACGCGACCACCTTCCCCAGGTCAGGCTGACACACCCCCCGCCCCGCCCCGCCTTAAGCGTGCCTGGGTCCTCCTTGCCTGCAACACAGATGACCACCATACGTTGCTGGATAAGTGAGCAGTCGTTGTTACCCTATTTGGCTATTCATTTGATGAGGAAAACTACTGGGTTTTTCTTGGTGGTGGTATTATATTAGAATCTGTGGGGCACACACAAAGCTCCGATAGTGACAGCATCATCAGAGGACCAGAAGCTCACTAAGGAGGGTTTGGTATTAGCATAAATAAGCACGTAAAGAAGACCAGATTTAGAACCCAATGCTTAATGGAGAGTAGCATTGGAGTCAAGTTTAGTAGGAGAGCTGGACTTAGGGCTGCAGAAACGTGGTAGCGATAAAAGAGAAACTGACATTCTGTGTGCAGGAGTTCGGAAAAAAGTGAGGTAAGGAGGAAGCCCAGAGAACAGGAGGGAGTCCAGTGTGAGTGGAATGTGCAACCAATAGAAAAGAGCTCAGGAAGTTGGAGAGGCTTTGAGCGTCAGGCTGCAGCTCCTGGATGTATTAGAAAGACCATGACCCTTCAGAATTATTATTATTTTTTGAGACGGAGTCTTGCTCTGTATGGAGTGCGATGGCGTGATCTCAGCTCACTGCAACCTCTGCCTCCCCGGTTCAAGCAGTTTTCTGCCTCAGCCTCCTGAGTAGCTGGGATTATAGGCGCCCACCACCACACCTGGCTAATTTTTATATTTTCAGTAGAGACAGGGTTTCACCATGTTGGCCAGGGGGGTCTTGAACTCCTGACCTCATGATCCACCTGCCTCAGTCTCCCAAAGTGTTGGAATTACAGGCATGAGCCCCTGCGCCCGGCCCAGAATTTTTTAGTCAGAGCTGTGTTTTGGAAAGAATCATCTGGCAGAGCATGGGTTGAAGTAGAAGAAGGCTAAAGGCAGGGAGAGCTACCTTGGTTTCCAGCTGTGATGCGAGTCATAGTCTGGGAAGGAGGGATTTTGAAGGTGGATTCATTAGTACTTGGGGACAGACAGGATGGGGAAAGTGGGAGAGGGAGGCAAAGATTATGTCATCTGGGACAGCAGTGCTGTTATCAGCTGAAACACCCCAGAGCAGCTATAAGGTGGGTACAGAAGAGGACCTCAGTTTGGGCCAACTTGGGTTTAAGGGCCTAGTTGGATGTGGAGGGGGAGATGATGGAAACCTTAGGGTGGAGAGAGATTGCCTTGGTAACATCGTCAGGATAGGCTAAAACCTTCAGGTAAGCAGAGAAGATCGGTAGCGTTTGAGACTGCAGATCATTGTCACCAGGATCTTTGGAGGTTTCCCAGAGGTGTTAGAAAAAGAGGTGTTAGTAAGTGATGACCAGGGGTGGAGAAGAGCACAGGAACAGAGTTGTTCAGATACCGGGTGTCCTGGGGGTCTCCCGCAGCGCCACTGGCTTCACCACACGGTCAGACATCGGGCCCGCCCGTGATGCAAATGATCCCGTGGATGATCGCCACGCGCCCCCAGGCAAGAGAACTGTTGGGGACCAGATGAAGAAAAACCAGGCTGCTGACGATGACGATGAGGATCTAAATGACACCAATTACGACGAGGTGAGATGTGTCCAGCTTTCGTGGCTCCTCCAGCCAGTCTCTGGGAGCAGCTGACCTCACCATTGTGTGTTGGTGTGTGTAATGAATGGCTTGGAGTGGCTCATGCATTTAAAATTTCAGCTATTCATGGGACATCTTTACAGAGAGTGAGAGGGAGGAGGAAAAATATGAGACGAAGTTTCACTCTTGTCAGAGGAGGTGTTCTTGCAGATGTTGGGACCGCTGCCTTGGCATTTCGTGTTGGCCAGTCTTTTTTTTTTTGAGACGGAGTTTTGCTCTTGTTGGCCAGGCTGGAGTGCAGTTGTTTTTATTTATTTTTTTTTTTTTTGAGACCGAGTCTGGCTCTGTCGCCCAGGCTGGAGTGCAGTGGCCGGATCTCAGCTCACTGCAAGCTCCGTCTCCCGGGTTTACGCCATTCTCCTGCCTCAGCCTCCCGAGTAGCTGGTACTACAGGCGCCCGCCACATCGCCCGGCTAGTTTTTTGTATTTTTTTGAGTAGAGACGGGGTTTCAACGTGTTAGCCAGGATGGTCTCGATCTCCTGACCTCGTGATCCGCCCATCTCGGCCTCCCAAAGTGCTGGGATTACAGACTTGAGCCACCGCGCCCGGCCTGGAGTGCAGTTGTGCGATCTCAGCTCATCGTGACCTCCGCCTCCCGGGTTCAAGCGATTTCTCTTGCCTCAGCCTCCTGAGTAGCTGGGATTACAGGCATGTGCCACCATGGCCGGCTAATTTTGTATTTTTAGTAGATACAGGGTTTCTCCATGTTGGTCAGGCTGGTCTCGAACTCCTGACTTCAGGTGATCTGCCCACCTCGGCCTCCCATAGTGTTGGGATTACAGGTCTGAGCCACCGCGCCTGGCTGCCAGTCTTTAATGATAAAAACTTAAAGTGGAATTGGTGACAGTGTTTGCTTTTTTTGGCTTTAGTGCTTGCCCTCTAAAAAGACATCTACAGAAAAACCTCAGCTGACTGAATATCGATTAACTGTCTTCTAACATGTGACGCCTTTCCTCTGAGGAATATTTAAAAAAATAATTTTAGTTTTGAGGCCAGGCATGGTGGCCCACACCTATAATCCCAGCACTTTGGGAGGCTGAGGCAGGCAGATCACCAGGTCAGGAGATCGAGACCATCCTGGCTAACACGGTGAAATCCTGTCTCTACTAAAAATACACAAAAATTAGCCGGGCGTGGTGGCGGGCGCCTGTGGTCCCAGCTGCTTGGGAGGCTGAGGCAGGAGAATGGTGTGAACCTGGGAGGCGGAGCTTGCAGTGAGCTGAGGTCGTGCCACTGCACTCCAGCCTGGGCAACAGAGTAAGACTCCGTCTCAAAAACAAACAAACAAAAAATTTAGTTTTGAAATAATTTTAAATTTGCAGGAACTTGCAAAAATAGTGCCAAAAAAAAAAAAAGTTTCTGCATATCTTTCACCAAGCTTCTCCCCATCTTACATGACCTCAGTGCAGTTATTGAAACGAAAGAGTTAACATCGACACAGTACTGTTAACTAATCTGTCAGTCGTATTTGCATTTCATGTGTTTCCACGAATGTCCGTTTTCTGACTTAGGCTCAGTCCAGGAACCCCCGTTGCATTTTGTCATGTCTCCTTGGTACCTTCCAGTTGGAGCGGCTCCTCTGTCTTTCATGCCCTTGACACTTGAAGAGTAGTCACCAGTTATATTGTAGACTGTCCCTCAATTTGGCTTCGTTGGCTGGAGAAAATAATTTAGCAAGTATTTCACAAGTAGAGATGATCTCTGTTTCTGCTGGTGGGGATGGTGATGGAGGAAAAGCTGACCTCTCTGCACATGTCGTTTGCTTCTCAGTTTAATGGCTACGCTGGGAGCCTCTTCTCAAGCGGACCCTATGAGAAAGATGACGAGGAAGCGGATGCCATTTACGCAGCCCTGGATAAAAGGATGGATGAAAGAAGAAAAGAAAGACGGTAAAAGAGATTGTTGCCTTTCACGATGTTTATCCAACTTTAAAAAAAGTTTTGAGGCCAGGCGCAGTGGCTCACGTGTGTAATCCTATCACTTTGGGAGGCCAACGTAGGACGATAGCTAGAGCCCAGGGGTTTGAGACCAGTGTGGGCAACATAGCGAGACCTCATCTCTACACATAATTTAAAAATTAGTCAAATGGTGCACACCTGTAGTCCCAGCTACTTGGGTGGCTGAGGTGGAAGGACTGTTTAAGCCCAGGAGGTAGAAACTGCAGTGAGCCATGATCATGTCAGTGCATTCCAGCCTGGTTGACATAGTGAGACCCTGTTTCCAAAAAAAAAAAAAGTTTTGAATTTTTTTTTTTTTAATTAGAGATGGAGTCTCGCTCTGTCGCCCAGGCTGGAGTACAGTGGTGCGATCTCGGCTCACTGCAAGCTCCGCTTCCTGGGTTCACGCCATTCTCCTGTCTCAGCCTCGTGATCCACCTGCCTCGGCCTCCCAAAATGCTGGGATTACAGGCATGAGCCACCGTGCCCTGCCTTTTTTTTTTTTTTTTTGAGATGGAGTCTTGCTCTGTCACCCAGGCTGGAGTGCAGTGGCGCAATCTCAGCTCACTGCAAGCTCTGTCTCCTGGGTTCACGCCATTCTCCTGCCTCAGCCTCCTGAGTAGCTGGGACTACAGGCACCGCCACCACGCCCGGCTAATTTTTCTATTTTTAGTAGAGACGTAGTTTCACCGTGTTAGCCAGGGTGGTCTCGATCACCTGACCTCGTGATCTGCCCGCCTCGACCTCCCAAAGTGCTGGAATTACAGGTGTGAGCCGCTGCGCCCGGCTGTTTTGAATTGTTTTATACTCAGAGAAACGTTGCAATAGTATGCTTTTAGGCCACCTGAGGGTCTTGGTGTGTCGTAGCCATGCTTGGATAAGCCCTGGGCTGTTACGGAACAGCCTTAGGGGCTGGGGGCTGCAGTGGAGAGCTTAAGAACTCTTAAGATTTTCCAGAAATCAGTAGAATTTTGTGGATTACTTTTATGATACATCAGGGTTACCATCTTTGAAAAGGGCTCACTGACTGTTGATTAATCTTTTATATGTTGAGTAATTTGCAAATGAATTAAAGATGTCAAATGACACATACAAGCTACCAAGATTGAACCATGAAGAAATCCCAAACCTGAACAGACGAATAAGTAGTGAGATCAGAGCTGTAATAGAAAGAGTCCTAGCAGAGAAAATCCCAGAATCTGATTGCGTCATCGCTGAATTTTACCAAGTATTTTAAGAAGAACTAGTATCAATTCTACTCAAACTATTCTGAAAAATAGAGGAGGGAATACGTCCAAACTTATTCTACAAAACCAGTAGTACCCTGATGCCAAAACCAGACAAAGACACACTGAAAAAAGAAAACGTTAGGTCAGTATCCCTGATGAACACTGATGCAGAAATGCTCAGCAGAATACTAGCAAACCATATTCAACAAGACATTGGAAAGAGGGTTCATTGGCTGGGCACAGTGGCTTATGCCCGTAATTCTAGCACTTTGGGAGGCTGAGGTGGGCGGATCTTGGGTCATCTGAGGTCAGGAGTTCAAGACTAGTCTGACCAACCTCGTGAAACCCCGTCTCTACTAAAAGTATAAAAATTAGCCGGGCATGGTGGCGCATGCCTGTAATCCCAGCTACTTGGGAGGCTGAGGCAAGAGAATCGCTTGAACCTGGGAGGTGGAGGTTGCAGTGAGCCGAGATCACGACATTGCACTCTAGCCTAGGAGACAAGAGCAAGACTCCATCTCAAAAAAAAAAAGATTGTTCATCATGACCAAGCGGCATTTTGCCCAGGGGTACAAGTGCAAGGGTGGTTCAACATATGCAGATGAATCAGTGTTACACGTTTTATCAACAGAGTGAAGGAGAAAAACCATACAATTTTTTTTTTTTTTTCGAGATGGAGTCTTGCTCTGTTGCCCAGACTGGAGTGCAGTGGCACAATCTCAGCTCACTGCAACCTCTGCCTCCCGGGTTCAGGTGATTCTCCTGCTTCAGCTTCCTGAGTAACTAAGACTACAGGTGCCCGCCACCACACCCGGCTAATTTTTTGTATTTTAAGTAGAGATGGGGTTTCACCGTGTTAGCCAGGATGGTCTTGATCTCCTGACCTCGTGATCCGCCTGCCTTGGTCTCCCAAAGTGCTGGGATTACAGGCATGAGCCACTGCGCCCGGCCTGATCATTTTAATTGATTCTGAAAATGCATTTGATAAAATTCAACATTCCTTTATGATAAAAACTCTAAGAAAACTGGGTGTAGAAGGAATATAACTCAGGCTGGGCGTGGTGGTTCATGGTGGCTCACATCTGTAATCCCAGCACTTTGGGAGGCTGAGGCGGGAGGACTACTTGATCTCAGGAGTGTGAGACCAGCCTAGGCAAGAGGGTTAATACCCTTTCTGGCTGGGTGCGGTGGCTCAAGCCTGTAATCCCAGCACTTTAGGAGGCCGAGACGGGCGGATCACAAGGTCAGAAGATCGAGACCATCCTGGCTAACCCGGTGAAACCCCGTCTCTACTAAAAAATACAAAAAACTAGCCGGGTGAGGTGGCGGGCGCCTGTGGTCCCAGCTACTCGGGAGGCTGAGGCAGGAGAATGGCGTGAACCCGGGAGGCGGAGCTTGCAGTGAGCCGAGATCCGGCCACTGCACTCCAGCCTGGGCGACAGAGCGAGACTCCGTCTCAAAAAAAAAAAAAAAAAAAAAAAACCCTTTCTTTCCAAAAAATACAAAAATTAGCCAGGCTTTGTGGCACACACCTGTAGTCCTAGCTACTCAGGAGGCTGAGATGGGAGGATTGCTTGAGCCCAGGAGGCGGAGGTTACAGTGAACGGAGATCACACCACCACACTTCAGCCTGGGCAACAGAGTGAGACCCTGTCTCAAAAAAAAAGGAACATATCTCAACACAATAAAAGCTATATACAGCTGGATGCGGTGGTTCACGCCTGTAATCACAGCCCTTTGGGAGGCCCAGGCAGGCAGATCATTTGAGGTCAGGAGTTTGAGACCATCTTGCCAACATGGTAAAACCCTGTCTCTGCTAAAAATCCAAAAGTTAGCTGGGTGTGGTGGCTCAGGCCTATAATTTCAGCCACTTGGGAGGTGGAGGTTGCAGGGAGCCAGGATCACGACACTGCACTCCAGCCTGGGCAACACGACAAGACTGTCGCAAAAAAAAAAAGCCATATACGATGGGCCTACACCTAGTATCGTACTGAATGGGGAAAAACTGAAAACTTTTTCTCTGGGATGTGGAACAGAACAAGGTGCCCACTTTCACCACTGTTATTCAACATCGTACTGGAAGTCCTAGCTGGAGCAGTCATCCAGATTGGAAAAGAAAAAGTTAAATTATCCTTGTTTGCAGATGGTATGATCTTATATTTGGAAAACCCTAAAGACTCTACCAAAACGCTGTTGGAGCTGACAAAATCATTAAAGTTGCAGGCTATGTTGCCAGGTGCGGTGGCTCACACCTGTAATCCCAGCACTTTGGGAGACCGAGAGTGGGTGGGTCACCTGAGGTCAGGAGTTTGAGACCAGCGTGGCCAACATGGAGAAACCCCGTTACTATTTTTTTTTTTTTTTTTGAGACGGAGTCTCACTCTGTCCCCCTTGCTGGAGTGCAGTGGCCGGATCTCAGCTCACTGCAAGCTCCACCTCCCGGGTTCAGGCCATTCTCCTGCCTCAGCCTCCCGAGTAGCTGGGACTACAGGCGCCCGCCACCTCGCCCGGCTAGTTTTTTTTGTATTTTTTAGTAGAGACGGGGTTTCACTGTGTTAGCCAGGATGGTCTCGATCTCCTGACCTCGTGATCCACCTGTCTCGCCCCCAAAGTGCTGGGATTACAGGCTTGAGCCACCGCGCCCGGCCCCCGTTACTATTAAGAATACAAAAATTAGCCGGGCGTGGTGGCGGGTGCGTGTAATCCCAGCCACTCGGGAGGCTGAGGCACGAGAATCGCTTGAATTTGGGAGGCAGAGGTTGCAGTGAGACGAGATGGTGCCACTGTACTCTAGCCTGGGTGACAGAGTGAGGCTCCGTCTCAAAAAAAAAAAGTTGCAGGATACAGAATCCACAAACAAAAGTCAGTAGCATTTCTGTTGTCAACAGTGGACCATCTGAAAAATGAAGAAAGTAATTATATTTACAGTAGCTACAAATAAAATACTTAGGAACAAATTTAACCAAAGAAGTGAAAGATCTCTACAGTGAAAACTATAAAACATTGATGCAAGAAATTGGACAGAGATTCTGTGTCCATAGATTGGAAGAATCAGTGTTTAAAATATCCATACGACCTGGTCCGGCGTGGTGGCTCATGCCTGTAATCCCAGCACTTTGGGAGACCGAGGCAGGTGGATGACTGAAGGTCAGGAATTGGAGACCAGCCTGGCCAGCATGGTGATACTCCATCCCTACTAAAAAAATACAAAAATTGCCTGGCGCTGTGACTCACGCCTGGAATCCCAGCACCTTGGGAGGCTGAGGCGGGTGGATCACTTGAGGTCAGGAGTTAGAGACCAGGCTGACCAACATGGTGAAACCCTGTCTCTACTAAAAATACAAAAATTAGCTGAGTGTAGTGGCACACGTCTGTAATCCCAGCTACTCAGGAGGCTGAGGCAAGAGAATTGCTTAAACCCGGGAGGCAAATGTTGCAGTGAGCCGAGATTGTATCACTGCACTCCAGCCTGAGCAACAGGGCAAGACTCTGTCTCAAAAAAAAAAAAAAAAAAAAAAAAAAATCAAAAAACAAAAGTAGCTGGGCGTGGTGGCACATGCCTGTAGTCCCAGCTAGTCGGGGAGGCTAAGGCAGGAGAATCGCTTGAACCAGGAGGTCGAGGTTGCATTGAGTTAAGATAGCACCACTGCACTCCAGCCTGGGTGACAGAGTGAGACTCCATCTTAAAATAAAATAAAATATCCATACTACCCAAGTGATTTA